ATATTTGAGAAATGAGGCCTTTATCAAAGATACTTGTTGCAAAAATTTTTCCCCTTTCCTTTTATTTATTTCCTTATAATTTTGGTTGTGTTGGTTTTGTTTCTCTGGCAGCTTTTAAAGACAACTTTTCCATAATAAAAATAAGACAATCCTGATAAGTACACATCTACAAAAGGGACAGGACATTTTGTCTCAGCCCCTCCCTAAGTATTGTGATTGGCCCACATTTCAAATGAGTAGATAAGGTTAGTGAGCATGCATGATGGTAACTGTTATCAGTACTCCACCAAATACTCATTATGAGGGGATAGAGTCAGTACTAAAGAAATATAACTAGACTGCCTTCTCCTGCAGGACAGCCCTCCCCTAGGTCCTTCCCTGCTTGCTGGCTACGTGTAGCCAAAGTCAAGCATGGCTAAAACATAGGTCACTTCAGAATGATTCTGCATCACTGACTGATTTTGCACAGAAGCATTAAAAGAGCCAAACAAGTGAATTACATCATATTTTAAAGTACTATTGATAATGAGAGATTATCAATATAATAGCTACTAGAATTTAATGGTTGGCATTTATATAGCACTTTGTTGAATGTTTGACATATGTTAGCTCAGAAGATGCTATAGATAACTAGAATGAGGAAGAAACTGGTCTTGACAGTAGCATGGAAAGAATATATTTTGGTGGGGAAAGTTGAAATCATGCATTTTTTTCAAATTCACAAAAAACTCATCACAATCTAGGGCATGATGCTGTTATAAATGTATCAAGGCAGAAATATTCAACACTATATGTAAGGGTGAAGATAAAATAAATATAGTAATCCACAAAGAAAACGTGATAAAAAGACCCAGGCCTTTATGAAGCCTTAAAAGTGACTTGCTGATTTGAGGTGCTATCTCATATCTATCAGATTGGCTAATAAGACAAAAAAGGAAAATGATGGAAGTTGGAGGAGATGTGGGGAAACTGGGACACTAATGCACTGCTGGGTGGAGTTGTGAACTGATCCATCCATTCTGGAGAGCAATTTGGAACTATGCCGAAAGGGTTATAAAACTGTGCCTACCCTTTGATCCAGGAATACCACTGCTAGGTCTATATCTCAAAGACATCCCCAAAAAAGGGGAAAGGATCTATTTGTACAAAAATATTTATAGCAACTCTTTTTGTGGTGGCTAAGAATTGGAAATTGAAGGGATGCCCATCAATTGGGGGATGGCTAAACAAGCTGTGGTATATAATTGTGATGGAATATTATTGTGCTACAAGAAATGACAAGCAGGATGATTTCAGAAAAATTTTGAAAGACTTACATGAACTGATGCATAGTGAAGTCAACAGAATGAGGAGAACATTGTACACAGTAACAGCGATATTGTTTGATGAAGAACTGTGAATGACTTAGCTATTCTTAGCAATTCAATGATCCAAGACAATCCCAAAGAACTAATGATGAAGCATACTATCTGACTCCAGAGAAAGAACCAATATTGACTGAATACAGACTGAAGAATACTATTTTTTATTTTCTTTCTTTCATTCTTTTTCTTTTATTCAAATCTTCTTGTACAAAATGACTAATATGGAAATGTTCTGCATGATTGTGCATGTATAACCTATATCTGATTGCTTACCTTTGGGGGTGGGGGGGAAGGGGAGGGAGAAAGGAATAGAATTTGAAGCTCAAAACTTAAAAAAAAAACCAAATGTTAAAAAAATTGTTTTAATATGTAATTGGGGGAAATAAAATATTATGTATATAAAGCTCAGCTCAAAAAAAGTGACTTGTTGAGTAATGTTTGGATTAAAGAAAAAAAGGCTAATCAATAACAAATTATATAAAAATAAACAATATAAATGCAACATATTAAAATGTATGGAATCCAGTCAAGAATTAGATAGATATCAATAACAGTGAGAGACTTTACCACCACTCACAAAAGAATATGATAAATCTGCCTCAGAGGCACTTTTATATCCCCGAACAATATTTACATCCCTGAATGGATACTAACAAGAAAAAGAGGAAAATTAATAAGTTGAACTTGCAGTTAAAGAAATTAGAATATGAAAAAGTATCTCATTTGACCTGGATGCCTCTAGTATAGTTGATGGAGGAGGCAGAGACCAAAATGCTCTAGCCAAGAACAACTATGTTGCCCCTATACTTTGTTAATTTAGAGTCTACTTTAGTAAAGCACACAATAATCTATATGAGACACTATAGACACTATCACTTATATGTTGAGTGAGTAAACCTTTTGAGTCACATTAAATTGGCAAAAAGATGACAGTTTCATTGGGATGGGGGCCAAATCGTGAAAGAGTTTTGAGTTATTATTAATATCCCTAGACAGAACCCTGGACTGAGCCACGAAAAGGAAAAATTAGGCAATATAAGTGTCAAGCAGATGCTGTGTGTAGGTACAAAAGATCTTAGGATTGAGCCACTAGGTCCCATTGGTGAAATGAAATGATTAGAGTTGGTGTCATCTGGTAGCTTACCCAGATATGGCTACTCAAGGAGCTACTGGAGGAAACTTCTGAGTGTTAATGAAAAAAATCAAGTACTCCTGTAGATGTAAGCAAGCCACCACATGTGTCTGTATGTATACATGTATATGTATATGTATGCATGTATATGCGTGCATGTTTATGTGTATATGTACAGATACACAAACACATGTCTAATATATCTATTGATCAATTCTACTTGATCAATCATTTTGATACGCTGCTATATTCTATTTCCCAGAATTTCATTTAATATTTTTGCATCGTTATTAATGATGCTGACCCATAGTTCTTTCGTTGATTTATCATTACTATATTTGGATTCAGAATATATATCAAACTCAGAATGAACAAAATTCACAAGAAAGAATTAAAATAAGCCATTAAAAAACTTCCACATAAAAAGGCACTGGGACCAGATGGATTCAAAAGAAAATGTTATTGAGCATTAAAGGAACAAACGATCCCTGAACTATATGAGCTGTTTTTGAAAATAGAGAGCATCCTTTCTAATTCACTTAACAAGTCAAATATAGTTCTGATTCAATACCATTAATAATGATACAAAAATACTAAATTAAATGCTGAGAAAGAGAACACAACAGTATAGCCAAATTACTCATTGATTAAGTAGAATTTAAACCAAGAATGCAAGAATGGTTTGACATTATGAACACAGTAAAATGATTCACATCAATAAAAACAATATTGTTTTTGTCATGTATCAATAGCTATAGAAAAGGCCTTTTATAATATACAGCACTCATTATATTGAAAAAGGTTTTTTTAGGGAATAGAAGGGTTTTCATTTACATGGTAATAAGTATTCGTTTGAGACTAAGAGCATGATACTAATAGAGAAACATTAGAGGCTTTTCTACTAAGAATAGAGATCAAATCGAGCTTTCTAAATTCACTGTAAGAAAAGATAACAGCTACAACAATTGTGAAGAGGGAGAAATTTGTAGCTACTCAAAAACAGAAGAAATTATAGGAGACAAAACAGGAGAATTTGACAGTGGAAAGAATGACTCTGAACTCAGAAAACATGGGTTCAAGTCCCACCTCTGACGCTTACTCTCTACGGCCTTGGGCAAATCCCTCTTCTCCCTGGGACTCAGTTTCTTCATTTGTGAAAAGATGGTCTTTAAATCTATAATCTTATGGTCCTATGATAAAAATAAAGCATTAGTTTTTGTCAGAGACTGGGAGGAGGAGAGAGGGGAAAATCATTTCCAGGGGTTTGGGATGAAGGCAGTTGGAGAAGAGGAAGTTCATTTTGAACGGCCCCAACTTTCTTGGTAAAGTAAGAAGGAGGCTTCTTTTGAGAAAGAGGCAAGAGGAAGAGGAGATATGGGGGGAGATGGGCTTGAGGAAAGAACAGGTTGAGAGTAGATAGGGAGGGAATCATCAGGGAAGAATAAAGCAAGGCATAGTAATAATGAGTAAATTGGAACAATAAGCACAGGACACGACTGTAAATAACAACCGCAAAATTTAGAAAAATGTACCAGATGAGACGTCCCTTTTCAAACGTAGCCCATGTGTCGATCCGTTTTTGCTTAGATATACTTATTCATTCAAGGGAGGGCTTTGATGGGGGGAAGGAGAGGTTAGTTGGAGATGCAAAAAAAGGGCATCCATAAAATTAAAGATTAAATTTAAAAATACACAGACAAAAGCAAAAAAGTTCAGAAATTATCAAAGATTTAGAACTGGAAGGAGCCATTGAGTCCAACCCCCTCATTTTACAGAAGAGGAAACTGAGGCTGAAAGAAGGTAAGTGACTTGCCCAGAGCCACACAGCATGGCCAGCATCTCTCAGAGATGGAACCTGAATCGAGGACTTCCTGACTTTGAGGCAAGCTCTCCAGCTACTAGCCAACACTAACTTTACATGTTAATGATTACAAAGTTTATAATAATAATTTTTGAAGTGCTATAAAGTTGCTATTACTATTATTTGACTCTCATTGAAGAAGGAAAGAGAAGGAAGGAAGGAAGGAAGGAAGGAAGGAAGGAAGGAAACAATTCTTTTTTTAGCATCTATTGTGTGCCAAGCACTTTATAAATATTATCCCCTTTAAGTGCTATTATTATCCTTATTTTACAATTAAGAAAACTGAGGCAGACAGCAATCAAGTTGCTTGCCCAGGGTCACACAGCTATTTAAGTGTCTGAGGCTGAATCTGAACTCAGTTCTATAACGGCTGCAGGTCTATTCTCCATCCACTGTACCAGTCAAAAAGAAGAAGAGTAAGGAGATGGAAGGTGGGGGTTTCCACTGAAAGAAGAGGTGGGGGCAGCTAGGTGGCACAGTGGTTAGAGCACCGACCCTGAAGTCAGGCGGACCCGAGTTCAAATCCGGTCTCAGACCAGACGCTTGACTCTTACTAGCTGTGTGACCCTGGGCAAGTCACTTAATCCCAATTGCCTTTAAAAAAAAAAAAAAGAGAGAGAGGTAGGGAGGGGTTCAACATTACCTGGGTTAGTCTCAGCTTGGTCTCCCAGGTGTTGATTCTATGCTCAAATGGTTTCTTGTACGGTGAGAAAGACATGCTCTGGGTCATGACGATGTGGTCATCAAGGAGCTGAGAAGCCTCATCAGGGCTCTTCAGAATAAATGTCTCCGTTTTTTTGTAGGGCAGCACATTAAACAGAATGGACACCCATTCCTTCTCCATTTTATCCAGCGCCTGCAAGGGGAATGGCATGAACTGAGTGGATGCTACGATGAGAAAGAGCAGATGTCATCCCACACGGAGTACCTCCCTCACAGACACAAGCTCCTTTGTGTGTGACTTCGGGCATGGCTGTTCTGGCTCTAGGCATGGGTCCCCAGTCCAAGGAGAAGAGCCCTTTACTGCGAGAGGCAGCACCAGCTCGTCCAAACAATAGCTTTCACATAGGATCAGGCCCTGAGAGTCTCAACTCACTTGATGGATTTTCACATCATAGTGCTTGTAACCCCCTCCCAACCCCTCGGCTACAAAACTGAGACACTTCCTCAGAGCTGGCAGGGCCCTTTACAGGTCGCCTCATCTAAACTGCTACTTGGGGCAAGACTCCCCTGCCAAGCGGCCAGCCTGTCTGCTGCGTGAGTACTGCAGGGACAGGGAGCTTGCTTCCTCCTGAGTCAGACCTGCCTACAATGGGACGGCTCGGATCATCGGAAGGGCTTTCCCGATACCGAGCGCCTTGCTCTCGCAGGCCTGGTCACCCAGGAGCACAGGCAATGATGACCGGCGCTAGCACAAGGCCCGTGTCTGCACCTGTTCGATGGCGTACTCTTTGCCAGCCACCTCCGCGACTTTGCCAATGGCCTCGATGTGATCTTGGAGATTCATTTCCAGACACCGAGCGAAGGTGAGGTTGGCCTTGGGCTTGATGTTGATGTTGATCTCCTCAGAGAGCATCTCCCAGTGCCGGTTCCGCATGCCAGGGTTCCGCAGGCCCTGGATCAGCGGGATGTAGGGCTTGAAATCCTCAATTCTGTTCTGGATATCGACGGCTACGTCCTGGCAGGCTACAGAGAGAGATGGGACCAGGTGAGGGTAGGAGAAAGGACGAGGCCCTGAGGGTGATAGTCCTGCTTGCCACACTGCTGCCCACCTGGGGGTTTACTCACTCCTCCACCTAAGTCACAAAAAGAGGCTGCTGGCCAAGGCATGTCTTCCTAGGGACCCTCAGCAGAGACTCCGACGAGCCCTCTTAATCAGCTTCTCCTGAGAGGAAGACTGGTTTGTACCTGAAAGATCGCCCAGGTCTGCCCTGGGCCAAAGGAGGCCAGTGGGAGCTTCTCCACGGAAGGTTGTGGAGGTCTCTGGAGGGATGGATTCCCACTCAAGCAGGAGGCAAAGTCTCAGACGTCATCTAAGACTCAGTGTGCAATACTACAACCACCAACATTTCAGGGACCCAGCCCTGGCAAGATATCTTGCATCTCCTCTGTACCTCTTGGATATGCCAAGCTGTCCACATGTGGTCTCCCTCGTCAGAATGTGAGTGTCTTGAGGGCAGGGGTAGTTTTCACCTTTCTGTGCCCCCTTAGTGCTTAACACTGTCCTTCACACATAGTAAGTATTTACTTCATAAATACCTTTTGATCAATCAATTAAAATGTAGGAAGCACCAGAAAGCCTTGAATGTCAATTTCAACTTTGTTGTTGGGCCACTTGGGGAACACCAAAGGCGAGAGAGGGAAATGGTGGGACCTGTGCAAAGGTGCACAGGATGTGCACCTGTGCAGCTGTGCAAAGGATGGATGGTAGAGAGGGGAGACAGGAAGCAGGGGCGTCAGTTAAGAGGCTATTCTAATACCCAAGGGAAAAAATGAGAACCTCTGTGAGCATGGACACTGCAGGAATAGAGAGAAAAGAAAAATTCTAGATACATGGAGGAAGCATCAACAGGGCTGCATGTGTGTGGGGGCAGTTAATGAAGAGCTAAGAGTCAGAGATGACACCAACCTTTCTGATCTGGGTGAATGGGAAAGAAGTGGCGCCACTAACAGACACAGTTCCACTGGGAGAGGGGCTTTAAGTATCCGTGATTCTAGAAACATGGGACCTCAGAGCTGGAAGGGACCAACCTTCCCACACAGTGTGGTCAGGCAGACCTGAGTTCAAATCTAGTCTCAGATACTGACTAGCGATGTGACCCTGGGCAAGTCTTTTGACCTCTGTTTCAATTTCCGTTTCTGTAAAGTGGGGATAATAATAACACCTACCTCCCAGGGCTGTTGTGAGGATCAATGTAGCACAGTGCCTGACACATACCTATTAAATGTGAGTTATCATTATTATTATTATTATTATTATTATTACTGGTAGGGCTGGGACCCAAATTCAGCTCTCGTGACTTCCACGTTCAGGATTCTGCCCACTGGTCCTACCTCCTGCCCCTGCGGCCAAGCAAACCAAGCCTGGTCCCTTTTCTCCATTATTTTCCTTCAGACATCTAAAGACAAGGATTGTGTGTATCCAAAGTTTCGCACCCAAGGATTACCTGGGACATCTCTGAACTGCTTCACACACTTGTGCATTGTCTTGAAGGCCTCAATCACATTCTTTTCCAGCTGCTCAGCATCGATGGAAGTCAGAGGGTCATGTATCCAGCTTTCTGAACTACGTAACCAGTCAGAAGCCGTGGTCCACAGGTCATAGTACGGCTGGAAATCCTTGATCATCTTGTAAAGTTTCTCGTACTGTAAAGGAGAGAGGAGAGTACACTCTCAGGGGCCCACTCCTCATCTTAACAGCTAGCAGGGGCTCACTCTGCAGAGAAAGCCCACCAGGTCTCTCTGCTCAGCCCAGGCAGGGCTCTGGGACATCCGTTATCATCTCTTTATCCACATGATTCTGAGATCATCCCATCCCAGCCTCTCTCCTGAGCTCCACTCTTGCATCTCCAACTGTCTGTAGGACATCTTGAACTCTTATGTCCTGTAGATATCTTAAACTCAACAAGTCCAGAACTGAACTCAGTATTTTACCCCCCAAATCCTCCCCTCTTCCCAACTTCCACATTACTGTCAAAGGCATCAGCACCCTCCCAGGCACCCAGGCCCAAGACCTCGGCGTCATTCTCGACAGTCTCCTCACTCTCTCCCATATCCAATCACTTGTCAGATACCAAGGATTCTGCCTTTTTATGTCCTCACCTCCTTCAATCCGCTGACACTGCTAGTACCCTGGTATAGTTCCTTATCTGGTCACAACTAGATTACTGCAATGGCATACTGGTTTACTTCTTTGCCTCAAGTCTCTCCCCACTCCAGTCTTTTGCTTCTTTGCTCAGCCATCAAATTGATCTTCCTAAAGCACAGTTCTGACTACATCCCCCCACCCCCTCTTCAACAGATTCTAGCAGCTCCCTGTCACCTCTAGGATCAAACATAAAATCCTCTGTTTGGCTTTTAAAGCCCTTCACAACCGATGCCTCCCTACCTTCTCATTCTTTTTACGCCTCACTCTTCTCCATGCAGTGTACTTACTCTTAGCCTCCTTGCTCTTCCTCTCGTCCTCCTTAATCTCAGTGCTTTCCCTCTGACACTCTATCATTTTATCCGGTCTCCCTCTTGTTTGTACAGTTATTTACATATTGTTTCCCCAATTAGACGGCACACTCCTTGTTTTTTCCCTTCCTTTGTATCCCTAGCACTTAGCACAGTGCCCGGCACATAGTAGGTGCTAAACAACCGTTTGTTGGCTGACTGGTTGTTTCTCACACTCAACAATGTCTCCCACCTCTGTGTCTTTGCCTTGGCTGTCTCCCATGCCTGGAATGCAATTCCACCTCTTAGACCCCACTATTTCCTTCAAAACTCTGTCCAGCCAACTCCCTTCTACATAAAACTTTTTCTAATTTCCCAGTTACCTTGTGCTCCCTTTGTATATACTTATTTATAGACATCTATCTCATAGGATGAAAGTTCTTGAGGACAAGAACGGTTTTACCTTTATTTTTGAATCTCTAGCACATTACATACTATGGAGCCTGGACAATAGCAGGTGCTTAACAAATACCTGTTGGCTGATTGACTAATTGTTTCACTCCCATAGTCCCCCACTTCTACAAAGAATAAAGGGAGGTACAATCCCACATCTCTTCTATGTGGCCAGACTCAGTCAATATAATTACAAAAGCATTCAGATTCAATTTTTAAAATTTTATAACATTTTATATTGCACAGCATTACATCTATAAATTAGGTAGTGTAATTTTTAATATATAAGCCTATCTAGTGCTGAGCATGAACTATCCCACTAATGAGATCATCTGCATTCCATTAAAGAGTGTTTGTGATTTTATCTATATGAGTCATGATGGTGCCTTGGTAGATTGACTCCCAGATATTTTTTGCACGTACCCCAAGAAGGTCAAAGATAGATTTTATATAAACTGATGCAAAATGAAGCAAGTAAAAACAGGAAAACAATACATACAATGACTATGACAATGTAAATGGAAAGAACGAAAAACAAAAGGAAAAAACCTGAAACTCTCCCTTAATTTATAAACCATTCCTACGATAGGAACATGGCACAGAAGGGAGCACAGGATGTCTCATAAAGTAGGTCAGGAGAAAATAGTATTTTGAGCCCATACCACCATCCTTAATCAAAGGGAATGTGCATTTAGTAAAGTGCATCTTGCAGGGAGAAGGGTAGAGAAAGAGAGATGAGATGAGCAGTAGGAAGGAGTAGAGACCTACGTTGGTGATGGGCATCCCAAAAATCCGCTCTCGATTATTATAAAGCACGGCCAACTGCTGGCACTCCTTCAGCTGCTTCTTGACCCTCCTCACTTCATTGGCTATCTCATGAGCACGTGCAATTTCTGTGTAAATGGAAAATCCAGCCACCACCAACTAAGAGGAAAAGGACACCAATGGTAAGCAGATCTTACTAAGCCACAGAAGGTCACAGAATTTCAAAGTCACAAGGGACCATCTAGTCCAATCCATACCCAAAAAGGAATTCTTACTACAACACACCCAACGATTGGGCATCCTGCATTTGCCTAAAGACTCACTGCTCCCGGGGTGGCCCATTCCATTTGGGGAAATTCTGTCAGGAAGTTTTTCTTTGAATCTATCCTAGAATCTGCCTCTCCTCAACTTCCCCCCATTTCTCCTTGCTCTACCCCTAAACAAGTCAATCCCTCTTCTATATGAAAATCTTTAAAGTACTTAAAGCCAGCTCTCCTGTTGGTCTAAATCTTGCCTTCTCCAAGCTAAACACCACAAGGTCTTTCAAGTGACCCTTACATGGCGTTCTGGTAACCCTCCTCTGGTTGATCAATGTCCTTCCTAAAATCTTTTCCCAAATCTCAGATCCTCAAGCAATGGTGCTAACTTTCTGTCTATGGGCACATCTGGGCAGTGGGAGTGGTCCATAGACCTGGCTGGGCCTGAGGGTCTCTTAGTATACCACTCCCAAAAGCTGTAGCCCCCTACAGTTTGCTGGGGGAGCAGGAGGCAAATGTCTTCATGATATCATGGAAGGTGTAGGTATATCTCTACATGACAGTATGGACCCAAGATGCACGAATAACCCATCCCCAACTGTAAGGAACTTCTTCTCTGGTCCGAAGTAATTCTAAACATATTGGTGCCACTTAGATGGAGCCAGCAGCTATCCCTGCATGGGTGCAGGAATTTCAGGGTTGAAGAGGGGGCATAGGACAGCAGGCATCTGGAATCCCAGAGAAGCACCTGAAGACCATCCAGCTTCTCCAAAAAGTTGTTCTGATCCATAAGCTGAATCTTGTGGAACTTCTCTTCTTCCTCCCGGTGCATTTCCCGAATTAAGTCAATCTGCCCAAGGATCTTGTGGGGCCAGTTACTTGCTGCCCATCTGAAACAAGAAGCAGGGTAAAACAGAAATCCAGATTCCAGGGGGCCCAAAGGAAAAGGCAGGGGAAGCTACAGAAAGGGCCCTGGATTTGGAGTCAAAAGGGGACCTGGGTTTAAAGCCCAGCTTTGCCACTGACGAGCAACGTGACCTTGGTTAAGTCATTTAATGTCTTTGGGCCTCACTTTTCTTGTCTAAAGGATCCAAGGGACCTTTGAGCTCTAAATCCTAAGAACCTACAGTAAGGGGGAAAGGTGAGAGCAGAGGTGGGCTCTAAGCCCTCACTTACTTGTCATTGAAATCATCTGTAGTAAGATTATAAAAGAAGTCCTCCATGACCTGGTAATCAACCATGACTTTCACTATCCTTTCCTGCAGAGACAGACAAGAACATGGGTTCCATTGGCTTAAGCCACTCTTAGAACCAAAGTCCCCACTTCTAAGAAACACTCACCCAGACTTAAGGGACAGGCAAAGAGCTGTGGACAGCAGCTCCCCAAGGAGGGTTCTGCCCCTGTCCACAACCTGGACAACCAAGTTCAAAGTCAGAGATGTGGAAGGACTGTCTCAAGAGAAATGGGCAGGCAGGGAGTAGGGTAGCTGGAAGAGCCTGCTGCTTTACAGACTAAACGCTGGCAGTACGGTCAGTGTTTCTCAGAACAAATGAATAAGCCTAATGCCTGAAGGATATTTTGGGGAAGAATGCAATTGTGGGGATAACATAAGAAACAATGGTCATGCGAGGATTACTGTTCTTATTTCATAACACAGCAAGTGAGTGTCAGAGCCAGGACTAAAGCCCAAGTCTCCAGACTCTCGATCTAGGGGTCTTTCTAAATATAGACACAACGCTGCCGTAAGGGGAGTGCTACAAGGGATGTTTGTACAATGTGGTAAGGCAGAAAGAACCCTGGATCTGGGAGGCTGGAGACCTCCCATTAACACTCGGGGCAGCTTTCAACAGGCCCCCGTCCTTCTATGAAAGCATATTTTAAATCTCTTTTTTAGTTTCTCTAGAATATGAAGAAATTACATTTTTCTGCAAATCTCTTTCTAGATGACCAGGGAAAACTCTTCAGAAAGGTGGATGGATTAGGTCAGGACAAAAGGAAAAAGGGACTTTCATTAAGTGAATGAATGAAGGGTAATAACCAGAAACTTAACATAGAATACCTCTTATCTAGACAGGAACATTGCCTTTCCCCACCTGCATGGCAGCTGTCCCTGTGTAGCTATAGGATATGTCAGGGTCAATCTATGGATCTAAAATTCTGTATTCTGCGATTCAAAGACTGTAACTTTATATGGTTCTCTAGGAGTATTCACCCGTATCCTAAAAGGCAGGGGATGGGGTAGCAGCCAAGGCCAAACTCTTCCCACGTAATTAAGAGCTAGGCCACAAGAGGGTGCTTTGAGCAAAGGGATGACCCTCCAGGTAACGGGCCCAGCAGCAGCTGTGCCAAAACAGGAGAAAGGCTCCATTCACTCTATTTCTCAGCACACAGTGGTATATAGCATGGTAGGTCCCACAAGAAAAAGTGCTACATCCAGAGAAGAGAGTCTTGGGTTCAAGCCCCAGCTATGTGACCTTGGACGAGTTACTGCCTATCTGAGGTTCAGTTTCCTCATATCTAAAATGGAGGTAATGACCAAGTCATCCCCTCGATTGAGGTCTAGTGAGGAAAGCACTCTGTAAACTTTAAAACACAATAGAAATGGAGGGAGTTGTTAAATTATGATTAACACGCACACTCACAAGTAGGGTCAGAGGTGGCTCTGGCTACCTAATGCTAAAACAGTCCTTAGATGCATTTACATAGAATGGTTGGCTCACAGGTTGCTGCACCATATTCAGAGCAAAAAGGTAAGGGATCTGCTCCTGTACGAAAGTCTTCTCCCCCTCCCAGAAGACCCATGGTCGCCATAAGGAATATGCCCTTTGCAGGTGGGAAGGGAAGCCACTAGGTCTTCTCTTTAGTCCCTTCCTGCCCTAGGGATGAGCCTGCCCCTCCTGCAGCATCCCTCCGAGCCCTAGAATACTCAGGTCAGTAGTGTCTGATGCATGCAGCTCATTCCACTTCTTGGGACCTAAGACATTGTTCAGGTTTACAGTCAAATCTGAGTTTAGAGATGGAATTTTGGGGACAGAGTAACCTCAAAACAAACATCAGGTCACTCTTGGCCAAGTTTCCGCCTTCAAAGGCCCATCCATAACTGTGTCCAATCCCATGACATACAGCACCTCTGATATCCCAGCACCCGCCTGTTGGCTCGGGGATTGGGTCAGTACCTCCAGCCCCAACAGCATTTCAGGGATGCCCTTCATCCATTCCTGGAGCTCTGCCAACTCCTCAATGCTGTTGGGCTTCTCGTAAATCTTCCGGCTAACGGACCGGAACTCTTCACAAATCTGCAGGAGGGGGAAGTCAAGGCAGATCTCAGGCTCATTACTCTCTAATGTACCTAATGCTATTTATTATGTCCAGATGCCAGTCCCCAGCCAGAGAGCTATCCTCCCCCTCCTCCATACTTTCTCACAGGAACTTCTTCCCAGCTTGTAGGTTACAGGACTTCCCTCCTTGTTTTTGAGCTAATGAAGGAAGTTACTTTAATCCTATAGAGCCTTTGGGCTTTGAAATTGTTCATTACATTCTGCAGTCACAGCCTTTGACCACCAGCCTTCCTTCTATGCTCTCTGAACAACTTACTTCGCCTCTGGGAATTAAATAAATGCAAATTAATAAGGGATCTATAAATCCCCACGAATAGTCAATTAGGGGCAGCTAGGTGGCGCAGTGGATAGAGCACTAGCCCTGGAGTCAGGAGGACCTGAGTTCAAATCTGGTCTTAGACCAGACACTTGACACTTACTAGCTGTGTGACCTTGGGCAAGTCACTTAACCCCAATTGCCTCACCAAAAATAAATAAATAAAACAGTCAATTAGTAAAGTGTGCAAGGTTAGATCATCAAAACATCCAGGGAAGGATGTGGCTTTTCCTTTTTGGGGGCTTTAAACACAGTCTTCAGTAGATTCTGCCCACCACTACACCCTAAGCTACTGGATACTACTATGTAGTAGATGAAAAATTGTTTGTTGGAGGAATGAGTGAATGAGTGAGTGCCTACTGGTGTGTACCATTTCAAGTAAAGTCCTGCCTATAGTTAGGATTCCTAATCCTGGCTCAGCCAATAACTTGCTAGGTGAAATTGAGTAAGCCCCTTTTCCATTTGAGCCTATTTCTTCATTTTGACTAGGCTGGTTCCAAGATCCTCCCCCGATATGAAATACAATGTCATATACTCTAAAAGTCCTTTCAGCTCTGACATTTTAGGATTCCATAATTCTATTCAGTATCCCTGCAACCTCAGCAAAAGGGAAGGGAAGCCTAAAGACCATATTGGGTGGACCTCCTATGACAAGTTTAATTGGAGAACATGGATTAGGATCCAGATACCATAGCACAAGCACGAATGGGTTGCGATCTACCTCATTGGAATGAATATTAAATTAATGAGAACTCAGATCCATTTGAAAACCCAAATATGGCAAGATGACTTTTTCAGTGTTTTCCAGCCTTCTTGACCTAGGATGCCAAAATTAACTGAAGACTTCTTTCAGGTTCTTATGCCCAAATCTGCCCAAACATTTGTCAGGACCCTTGGAACATCCCTAATGGCTCAGGTGTTCTCATCCCTGTTCTGGGTTACTCCAGAAACAATTCTGCATGATAAAGAATGCTGAGGACATAATAAAGGATTAGGCTTTTAAAAACCAACATTATGGAAAACAGATGAAAGCAAGGAAAAGACCACACTTGAGATGACTTTTTTTTTTTTTGGAACAGATTTGAAATTTCATCAGAGGAGGAAGTTTCTTGCTAAGGAAACTCCCTCTACCAATACAGGTCTGCAACTATTCTGTAATATATGGCTTCAGTCAGTTGCCTGAGTTGGCTTTGAGAGATTAAGTGACTCACCCAGCTAAGATGAGTCTGAGATGGTACTTGAACTCATCTTTGGACCTCTACCCACTACATGATTCGATCTCTCAGGATAGTTGAGAAGATGTTAACATCAGACATCAGACAGAAGGCAAACCTACATAACTCTTATTTTCCTTTTGTTTTCTCTGCCATGGAGAATAATTGTTGGACTAGAAAGGACAAATAAAAAAGGCTTACAGGAAGAAGAAATCCAAGACAAGTAGGGAGGTAATAAGAGAACACTTAGCTAATCTTGAGAATGAACAGTTGTGGGGCAGCTAGGTGGCTTGGGGGATAGACCATCAGCCCTGGAGTCAGGAGGACCTGAGTTCAAATCCGACCTCAGACACTTAACACTTACTATCTGTGTGACCCTTGGCAAGTCACTTAACCCCAATTGCCACACCAAAAAGAGAGAGAGAGAGAGAGAGAGAATGAACAGGTAACTTTGCAACCTCAAGAGGAAGGTCTCCAAAACATAGAACAGGCTGCCTGTGGCAAGCTATGCTCCAAGTGGTCAAAGAAATGTCAGGCGTGACTGTGGAGCCCCAACCAACGATCTTTAAAAGAACTTGGAAAACAAGAGAGATGCCACAGGACTAGAAAGGGACAAACATTCTAATTTTTTTTTTAAGGGAAGAAAGCAGACTCTATAGGCTAGTGAACTTGACTCCAGTTCTAGAAGAAATACTAGAACATATATTAGATGAACATCTAGAAAAAATGTTTTGAGAAAATAGAGATATTCAGCTGGAACTCCTTCTCCTCTTTCTATCTCAAAATCCCTATAATATCATCCCCCATTCTCTCTTCCTCAACTCCATTCTCTGAGGAAGAAATGACCCTTGTCTCTAGGGCCAACCCCTCAATGTGTATCTTTTATTCCATTCCTTCTTTCCCCCCATCTCCAACAGACTGCCTCATAATCGCCTCCCCACCTCTATCACCATCATCATCATCTATTTACTGAGCACTTTCAGGTTTGCAAAGCACTTTATAAATATTATCTCATATGATCCTCACAACAAACCTGGGAGGTAGATGCTATTATGATTCTCATTTTAAAAATGAGAAAATTGAGGTAAATGGAGTTTAAGCAATTTGCCCATGGTCACATAGCAATTAAGAGTCTGAGGTTGGATTTGAACTCAGGTCTTCCTGCCTCTAGGTCTATGCTCCAATACTGTGTCACCTAGCTGCCATCTCTCTGTCTCGGTCTCTCTCATACCTCCCCTATTTCTCTCCATTTACTGGTTCCTTCACTACTACCTACAAACACACCCTAATCTCTCCTATCCTTAAAAAACAAGGACAACAACAGACACCTCACTATATCCATCAAGCTATTATCATATCTCTTCTCTCTTTCACAGCCAAACTCCTAGAGAAAAAGCCATCTGCACTCATTATCTTCACTTCCTCTTCTCTTTTTTGACTCTCTGCAATCTGGCTTCTAACTTCATCACTCAAATGAAACTACCCTCTCCAAAGCTACCAACGATCTCTTATCGGCCAAATCTAATGGCTGCCTCTCAGCCATCCTCCTTCTTGACCCCTCTGTAACACCTAACACTGCTGATCATCCTCTCTCTGGGCAGATACCTTCTGCTCTCTCATGGGCTTCCATGACACAGTGCTCCCTTGGCTCTCTTTCTAACCCCGCCTCAGTCTCGTCTCATTTGCCGGCCTCATCAGCTCCTACACAACATTTCTGTCCACGTGATTCCCAGATCTCCATCTTTGCCCTAGTCTCTCTCTGGAGCGTTGGTCATGGCCGCCCGACTGCCTACTGGACATTTCAAACTGGATGTCCCATAACCATCTCAAACTCAACGCGTCCAAGGTGGAGCTTATTTTCCTTTCTCAAATCCAAAATTTCCCCACTTCTGTTAAGGGCATCCCCATCCTTCCAGGCTCTCAGGTTCACAACCTCAGCATCACCCTTGTCTCCTTACTCTGCCTCACCCCACATATACAATCAATTGCCAAATCTTGTCATTTCTGCCCCTCCAACTCGTATCTGTCTTTCTGTCTACTCACACAGCCACCACCCACCTCCTCTGGACTACTGAAATAGACTCCTAAATCATTTCCCTGCCTCCAGTCTCTCCCCACTTCCATCCATCCTCCATGTAGCTGCTCAAGTGATTTTCTTTATGTACAGGTCTGACCCTACTCAATAAACTCCAATGGTCCTTTATTACCTCTAGGATCAAATGCAAACACCTTTGTCTGCCTTTTAAAGCCCATCATATCCTGGCCCCAATCCACCCTTCCAACTTTTTCCCATGATACTTTATCACACTCTAGGGTTCAGCCACAGTAGCTTTTGTGTTGTTTCTAACACATGATATTTCATCTCCCACCTTGTGCCTCTTTACAGAAGGCCTTCCTGATTCCCTGTCAGGACTCTCCCTCAAAAAAAATTACCATCTATTTACTGCATATAGATTTATTTCATATCTCCTTATATAGCTACATGTTATCACCCTAATAGACTAAAAGCCTTTTTTGTCTTTGTATTCCCCAGAACCTAGCACAGCATCAGGCATAGGTGCCATATTGACTCTGTGATCCCCAAATTAATTAACCAATAAGCAAAATGTTTGCTTAATTGATTTGGGGATCGCAGAGTCAATATGAGTTAAGAGTAGGATATGGCAGTCAACAGAGCTCAAAGGTGCCTCTAAGCTGCATTACAGGGTTATCATATCCAGAACAAGGGAAGTAATCGTTCCACTACACTCTGTCACTACACTCGGTCAGAGTCCATCCATAGAACCACCTTCAGTTTGAGGGAGCACATTTAACAAAAGACACAGACAAGCTGGAGGGTACATAGAATAATGCTCCCAGGGTGGGGATAAAACCAGGTGCTCTGCATGAATCGACAAGCACTTATTAATTGGCTATTTTGTGCCAGGCACTATGCCAGGTACGAGAGATACGAACAAGGACAAGAAGGAAATAATCCATGCCCTCAAGAAGCTTCCATTCTGATGGGAGAGATGACATGTATACATATGGACACATACCAAACACATACCAAACACAGACAGGTAACCCTGGGTCAAGGGGACACTGGATCAAGGTCTTGAAGGAGACCAGAGATTCTGAGAGGAGGTAAGAAAGGAGCATGTTCCAGGCATAAGGGACAGCTGGAGCAAAGGCAAAGAGGCAGCAGGTGGGAAGGCCATGAGTGAGAAGGCCAGTTTGGATGAAGATGGAACATAAGGGTGGGAGTAATTTATCATAAGATTTGGAAGGTAGGACAGGGCCAATCTGTGAACTTCTTTCAGTGCCCAACAAAGGAGTTTATAGTTGATCCTGGAGCCAACGGGGAGCCCCTGGAGGGTGCTCACTGAAGACTGGGCTGGGTAGGGCAACTGAGGATGCTGAGCCTGAAGAAGAGGAGCTGTAGGGGCCTGGGACAGCTGTGTTCAAAGGTGCGAGATACTGTCATGTGAAGAGGGATTCTGCTTGTGCTGCTTCGGTCTAATGGGCAAAATGAGAAGCGATGGGGCAAATTACAGAAAGGTGCATCTAGGGAAATTTTTCTAAACATTTGGATCTACCCAAAAGTGAAACTGCCTTGGGAGGGAGGGGCTCCCCCTCATTAGAGGTGGTCAGGCTAATGCTGGGGCTGGGGAAGGTGGAATCTTTGCTCATGTCCGAGTGGGGCTAAAAGATCCAAAGTCAGAAGATCATCAGATCACCACTGTAGAGCCTCCCCTTCCAGATCTAAGATTCCATGTTCTATCAGATCACCATTCTAGAACCACCCCTTCTGGATCTAAGATTCCGTGTTCCATCGATCACCATTCTAGAGCCACCTCTTTCAGATCTAAGATTTGGTGTTCCTACAACTCTCTATCTTAACAGGCATTAGACCAATAGCCCCCAATATAGAGAAAGATATCCATCTACCTCCTAAAACAGGGCTATGGTGGTAAGAGAAATAAGGTAGAGGAACTGGAGGGAGGGAGGGAGCTGATTTTAAACTCACACTGTCCACTTCCTGGTGCAGGTTCTTTGCCAGGATGTCCAGCATGGAGGTGGCCAAGGCTTTGCATTTCTTGGAGAGGTTCTGTTTTGTATTTTCCACGTTGATGAAAAAGGGGCCAATGATGATGTTGCTGGGCAAAGAGTTATCCAGGATCTCCTTTTCCTGAAGGTAGCTCTTCACTACTTCCCTCACTTCAGCAGCAGGAGGGCACACTTTGTCATACTCGCTGGGCACACGTACCATCACAGTCAGTCAGTTACTCATTCTACAAACATTTGGTGAACACCTACTCTGTGCAGAGCACTGTGCTGGGCAAGTTTAGCAAGACACAGTGTCTGGTGCTGTTGAGCTTACAGCCTAGTTAGAGGCAGTGGGGTTAAAATGTAAACACACATATCTATAATAGACAATACTACTCGGTAAACTCATTAAACAGGTGAAAAAACAAAGTGCTATTAAAGCAATGAAACAAATTGAGAACTAGAAGGGACCTTCAGAGATCATCTCTGCCCCCTATTTATAGAGGAGAAGTGAAGTGGCTGACAAAGTTATAAAAGTAGGGAGCAGCAAAGTTATCCAAGGCTTCGCATATGGCAGGCACTTGCTGCATGCAAGCTGGATTATTCAAGGTCCACGTGCAGGACCTGTAACTCCAAATCCAATTTTCTTTCCCTTTCAGCAGGAGCGGGGACCCTACAGACTCAAGGCCACATGTGGCTCTCCAGGTCCTCAAGTGCGGCCCTTTGACTGAATCCAAACTTCACAGAACAAATCCCCTTGATAAAGGATTTGTTTTATAAAACTTGGACTCAGTCAAAAGGCCACGCCCAAGGATCTAGAAGGCACTAGTTATCCTGTATATACCTGTGCCCATGTCAAGAGGGACAAGGACTAACTGCATCAAATTCTTTTATAAGTTTGGTGAGGGTAACAAATTCATCCCTCCAATCACCATCATGAAACAAGAATGGAGGACAGTGGACAGAGAACAAGATTTGGAATCCTAGGACCTGGGTTTGAATCCCTGCTGTGCCACTTAATGACTCACCTAAATGACCAGGGACAAGGCACCTCCTCTCTTTGGTCCTCAGTTTTCTCATCTCAAAAATCAAGGGCTTGAATTTGGGACTCCGCCCAAAGGGCAATCAAGCTGGGTACACCCTTTGACCCAGCAGGAGCACTTCTAGGGCTGTATCCCAGAGAGATCATACAAATGGGAAAAGGACCCACTGAACAAAAATATTCATAGCAGCTCTTTTTGTGGTGGCAAAGAATTGGAAATGGAGGGGATGCCCACCAATTGCGGAATGGCTGAACAAGTTGTGGTATATCAATGTAATGGGATACTACTGCGCTATAAGAAATGATGAGCAGGCAGACTTCAGAAAAACCTGGAAAGACTTGTATGGACTGATGCTGAGTGAAGTGAGCAGCACCAGAGAACATTGTACACATTAACAGCAACACTGTACAATGATCAACTATGACAGACTTAGCCCTTCTCAACAATGCAAGGATCTAAGACCTCTCCAAAGGTTTCATGACAGAAAATGCTGTACACAGCCAAAGAAAGTACTATGGAGTCTGAATGCACATTAAAGCATACTATTTTCACCTTTTTCTGGTTTTATTTTGTTTTCCTTTTGTTCTGTTTCTTCTTTCACGTGACTAATATGGAAATACATTTACAGGATTGCACATGTAGGGAGGGAGGGAGAAAAAATTGGGAACTCGAAATCTTATAAAAAATTAATGTTGAAAACTATCTTTACATGTAATTGAAAAAAATAAAATATTATTTTTTTAAAAATCAAGGGTTTGGACTATAAGCACCTTTTTAGCCCTAAATTCTACTATCCTGTGGGTGCCT